AAAAGTAAACAATACTTTGAAATATATTGGAAAGTAAATCAAATCAGAAAAAATAGTATTAATCACATTTATTAAACCAAATCTGAATCTAAAAACAGATTTGCATTTTAAATATCTATAATTTACAAGGAAATTTAATGATAGAATATACAAAAATATTTAATCTCTTATTTTATCGCATGAAAAATAATCAAACTAATTGATTACTCAATTACTAATACAAACTTTAATTTAAGCAGAATCATCAGACTTATTGTTGCCAGATTTATTTCAATAACATATAATGAATGATATTTACCACTGAAAATTTTAATTACTCAAATACAGAATAATATATATTTCCATATATATTATTTTTACTAATTGCTGGCTATTATCTTCGTGATAATAAAAATAACTAAAACTGTTACGTAATTAAATTTTAAATCTAATATATTTTGCATTTAGAACCTAATTGTTAGAAGTTAATTATTTGAAACTTTGTAGCATTTTCATTCATTTAGATTCAATGGCTTTTCACAATGTACTTCTTCCAAAAGCACTAATAATATTGCATTCAGATCAATTCAACCGCATATACCATCAGCTACACTAGTCATTATTCAAGCTGATCAAAATCAAAAATCAGTCAATAAAATCTTGAATTATGCAAATCAAAAATTCATAATTCTGGTTCTAATCAGAAATAAAGACTTCATTCTTGGCAAAAATTTACAGGTAATTGAAGACAGTAGCAAAGATTGCGCTTTTGGATTTTTATTGCCACTATAATCTGCCACATGAACAGACTAATCGGTGAATAAGCATAAACATCAAAATTCAAGGACCTGAGGGATCAAAATACCAAATTCAATGGAAGTGTCAGTAATATCAGAATACTACTACTATCATAAATTGTACTGCATCCAGACAAATCATATGGCTTTCTAAGAACACGTTTTTTGAAGTCAATATCAAATCTGGTTATGGGAACAAAACTGTATTAAACTATCAGAAACCCAACAGAAACTTTGGAAATTCAATCCAAATTTCAGAAACTTTTCGAAATGAAGAGCAGATCTATTGTATTTCATGTTTTTGATTTGATGAAATTATTCTTCATCACGCTAGTATAGTTTAGGAATTTTTGTCAAATAAATAAGTATTTCGATGAATATGGAGACAGATTATTATTCAATGCATAGGTGTACTGTATGCAAGTACGGATTCACTGTCCAGTTTCCAGCTAGAAATATCAATTAGCAAATGAGAACTATACTTCCATCTCTAAGAAGAAATAATATATGTTCTTCTCGAAATATGTCATATTGCTTACCACTTCATTGTAAATAATTTCAATGCTTAAATAGCAAAAATAAATAAATACTAACTATAATGAAGTCAACATTTCTTACACCAAAAAAACTTTATTCAAAAAGTTAAGCTCCAAATTTAAGATCAGACAAAAAGTAACCATTAAATAAAATCAACCTTTGGATTTTCATTCATAAACGTGACAATTAATTTGAAATCGCACAAATCATTCTAGAGATTATATTCATACGTAAATAAAAATAAGAACAGTGAAAACTACATAATTTTCACTTCTCATGATACTAAAAAATTAAAGTTGGAAAATATAATGCGTGCAGAAACTTTTAATATATAAACGAAGAAAACTTTTAAACAGTGACAAAATCCGAATAATTCTAATGAACCATGTCCAAATTATAATTTATCACACATATAGTAAAAAGAGCTAATACTAAAGTAATCTGTTTTAGCTATATTATATTAAATTAGCAGAGCACATTCAGTTAAAAAAGATAATCTGGAGGATGGACAATAAAAGATCAAAAACGAGTTATAACAGTAGAATAAACATAAGTGAAAGTAGACATAAATGATATTCACTCGCCACTTATTTGAAGTTCATTAAATTCACAGCGACCAATTAAGTACTGCACCAAACCATAACCATCAATTTCAAATGCTTCTGAAATGAGAAATGCACTCAATAAAGTTTGATATAAAAATATATCAAACTATCGTTTGTGAATCAAATTTTTTTTATTTTAAGGGAGAGCTTCAGTAATTTGGGCCAGCTAAATATATATTGTTTTTCCTACTTTAAATACAATTTTAAAAGCAGACATAAATGAGACAAGCTGACCTCTAACAGACACAATGTAACGTTGTGCCTCATCTTCTTTTGTGTATATTACTTTGATAGCGCCATCATAGCATTTTACAACATCAACGAAATTGACTTTTGTAACTATAAAGGCCAAAAATATTAGACTAGAAGGTCGAAATCATTATAGAAAAAAGCAGTAATTCTTGAAGGATACGGCTATCCGATGCTGCTGGTATTTAATGATCAAAAATGCAATGCTTCATGTAAAAATATATTTGGGTTTATACTTTGGAAATTTTTATTTTTGTTCATAAACAGCTTACTTTTAAATGCATCATTCTCAGAATTTCCTTCACAATCTTTGAATTCCTGAAAATTCGACATATATCCTGAATACACTAGATGGGCATTGAAATTGAATATAATTATTTTTACTTTTAATGGAATATGATAATAATTCTGGGCAAACTTGACGATGTTATCTTCATCTGATAAGGAGCTTGCACATTAATTTTTATTTTTGATGACAACAGTTTACTTCTAAATTCTTAATTCTGCATTTTCCTTATAAACCAAAAAATTGCATCACAATTCGATAAAAACCAAAAAGACACCTCTAAATCTTCACGTTTCTCTTCAAAAACTTCGGTTCCTGCATTAGAAATTTGGAGATCAGCTTTTAATGGGTTTGATGCTGCTGCAGTCTCGCTCTGGAAGGAAATTACCTCTTCCCTGCCAGCATCGGGTACAGGAGAATGATCTGAAACGTATTTTGCTAAATCACTAAAGACAAGAAATTTTAATCTAATAAATTTTTTATGCTCCAATAAAAAGCTCGAATTAACCGGTGCTCAATATTAAAATCAAAATGAAGTCCTTGAACAAAAGTAAACCATTCATTTTCTGCGATGAAATTTGCTCAGAAGCTTCAGAATCTGCATCTTCAGCGCCATCATAGAGCCAAGTATATTTAGCGTTTTTTGCTGAGAGCTCCTGAAAGCGGTTAGCAGAGTTTGTGAATTTTTAAAGATTCCAAAGTACAGAATAACGAAGTCTTATGTAGAAACTATTAAGTTTTTGGACAAGTAAGTGAAAGTACAAGCCTTTGGAATCGATTCTTCTTTATTCTTGGAAAGATTCTCCGTCTCATTAAATGCTGATTTACAACTTCTTGTTTTACGAGTTCTAAAAGTAATGCTATTTATTTATACTTGGAACAAAAAAAGCAACTCATAACTGCGTCTACATTTACATAAAAAATAAAAGAGAGGATAAACTTTTCTTGATGACGAAATTCACCCTACAAAGCAAGTAAATACAGAAGAAATAAATCTTACTTAGCAACGATGAACAAGTTTTTTAATTCTAAACAAGACAACTAGCCAAAATTTTCATTACACTATGGAAGACAACGGCCAAATATTACTGAAGTTTTTATTGTTGGAATTTTGAAAATAAAAATAATTAAAGTCAAATATTCATTTCATACACTCTTGCATTTTCGAATAATAAAGGACACCTTTCCGGATTTGTGGAAGTACCCTTAATTTGGCTTTTGCCACTTTTTGGACTCTGCTTTGAATCCTCTTTTCTCCTTTTACTTTGAGATTTTTTAGATACTGCCTTGGAACTCGTCTTTCTTTTCTTTGTTCGCTATAAGATATCCACAATGAGGCAAAATTATAAACGGTACAAACAGTGCAACTATAGCAACAATGAAAAGACGATAGGTACCACAGCAATTAATAATCCTATATAAAGGGTAACGAAAGTATAAGTCCAAACAAAACTTTAATCCTATCGTAATGACAAAGATATTAAAAAATTTTTGTAAAGAGCATACTTCATTTTTTTGTTTATCAGCCAGCATCTTCCGAGCCTTCGTAATCTCATCGTAATGATTTGTGATATAATCAAGAAGAATAACTGGTGCCGAATGAAGATTTGCTTCTGGTTCCCAAGAGTCGTCATTACTTCCAAAACCTTTCCATCGTACCTGCCAAAATCGAATTGAAAAATTGAATATACAGAGCTACTTCTACCACAACTAGACTACGAATCATTGGAAACGAATCAAAAATTAACATTTTTTCAGAAAAAAAGTAGAGAATATCTACACCTTATACAGCAATTTGCCATCGACTGCAGAAACACCAAGAATTTTTTCCACTTCATATTCATCTTGACTCATATCGGAATCATCTTTCTTGCTTGCATTCTCATCACAAGATCTCATTTTCACGGTAGCTTTTTGGACGATATTAGACTAAAAAATTATTACTCTCATGCTGAATGAAAAAATGTGAAGAAATCAAATTACAAGATGATTAAAACGGAGGTGAAATCGTTTATGACTGAAGTTCACATTTTTGTTGGTTTTCTGTTATTACTATCAAACTTACTACATGGCAACTATTACCAATAAATGACTAACAAAAAGATTATTCTTCAGTTTTATTAAATTATAGAGTTAAAAAGTTTGCTTTAATATAATATTGTAAATAACTATGTCTTACATAATATATTTGAGTGGAATAATCTAATATTTACCGACTCAAAATTTATAATTCTGCGTAAATAGTAACGAAAGTATTAATCGAAGCAACCCTAATCTTATCGTAATCACATATTTAAGTTATGCACAATAAAATGCATCCGCTCTTATGTTACTGATCTTATATCACATGATAAAGAACTATAAACAAGCAATATAAAATATTCATAAAACAAACAATATAAAATGAATTTCATGTACAAACAATATAAAACAAATATATTCATATAAAATACTTATAGAGAGGTATGTGCGAACATTGTAGGAAATGTGTGAAGACGGTGGGCCATTTAGCAACGCAGTACGAAAATATGCACGATTACGACTATACTAGAAGAGACAGTGAAGTGCTACGATGCATCCACTTGGGACTCTGCCAAAGTATGGTTTGAAAGCATTCCCGCGCATGCTAAGCCATTCTGTCCATGCGAATGAAAACGTTGAGATCAGAGTCAATAAGTGAGTGACAATAGCTATGGAGATGTACTTGCTAATAAGCTTGGGTCAGAGATGAAATGCAAGACTAAAATAATTCCGTATCTGATGACTTGGGATCGGATTGTAAAGAACTTTCAAAAACGCTACGCAGAGGAGATCAATATGACCATGTCGAAGCATACATTCAATCGATCGTTCATAGAAGACGTTCGAAAGCAATCTCTCTCTCTTCGACAATTGCTATCGATTTAACGAGGATGAAGCGAAAACGATTGGCCACAACAAAGCTCTGAGTGTAGGACAAGTACAGTAGAGAGCCGGAATGCGATCTAGCGTCAGAATCAATAAAGCGAAAACGAAAACTAACTTCCATATTTACTGCTTTCTTACAAAATATTAAATAATCAATAAATTTTCTTGTTTTAATACTTATCAGAAAATTATCCTGACCTCTTTATAATACCCAATCAAAGACAGAACAACGGTGATTCTGTACTTGATTTGCACACAGAAAATGCGTTATTTTGAAACTGCACATCATGCAATTTCCTGACCTCTGGTTATATATTCTTTAGAAAGTGCAATATGACTAATCTAAAGCTCAAAACTATAGCTTCCAGCAGAAATAATCTACTTTTTTGAGGTCAAATTAGCGAAAGTACCATTGTTCATTCGCCGCTAATCGCAACTACATCTAGACTCCATGAGTTTGAACCTGGATCTATTTTTCTTAAGAATTTGTAATGAAAAAAAATAAGTGGTACTTACGTAATAACGGATAATCTAGTAATTTACTCAGTGAATTAGAAATCATTCTCTTATTCCTGTCAACCTAAAAAATAACGAATGTCAATAAATGATTGGCAACTGTTCCAACGCAACAAGGAAGAAAAGTGTATGAATTTTGGCGAGAGTTAGACGACGAGATGGAATTCTGATGCATAATGGCGCCAAAATAAGAATTGATTTGAACTCAAATTCGATATTTAAGTTCTTGCTTAAGTTTAAGAAAATAAGATTGTAGTAAAAAACTCACACTTTCTTTTGTAATATAAATCATAACCATCGTTTTTTGACAATAACTGCATAATATGACAAGTTTTTGATGCATTTAAATTTTAGAAAAAAAAATGTTAATATAATATTTTATTTTCTAATATAATAATTCAGTCAAATACAAATGAAGTAATGGCAAAAAAGCACCAAACATGTTGAGATTTGTGATTTAAAAAAATCAAATCAAACTATAAGTCATTTAAAGGCAAATAAATGTTCAAAATTGTTTAGCATTTGATCGTGTTATCAGAATGATTTTGAAGAAAGTAGCAAAGCTTCTCGAGAAAATCGTGGGAATTTGTTTTGTATCGTTAAATATGTTTCAACACAAAAATCATGAATTTGGAATGAAATAATAAAAATCAAAATACAGAATTACTTAACATAAGATGTATTGAACACAATCCGGCAATTCTGACAAATCAATAGTCCATGAGATCCAGCAGTATTGATGAATCAATAATTCATGGGATTGGAAGCAAATTTTCTCATATAATGAAAAATTTACAATACTGGAATAACAGTTTGCTCACTGCAATAAATGCAGTAAGTAATTCGACAGCAGCATCGATTTTATTAATTTCATATTCGATTCATATAATTTAAATTATTGATTTGAAGTAATCTTTCAAATGGCTAAAGTAATAATAAAATACAATAAAAATACTAAAATATATTAAAAATATATAATATGAAAATAATGATGAAAATAGAATTAGTAATAAAGTATACAAAAGATATCAAAATTAATCATAAAAGTTGAACGGATATATGATATCACAAATTTATCTTAGCTACTATTCAGCACTATCCTAATGATAGAATTTAAAAAAATGCATAAATTTTTTAAATTATTTCAAAAAATAGAAATGATGTATTTTATTTCGTTTTTATTTCTGATCAGTTCTGATACATTTTGCTATGAAAATTCGTGAAGAAATCGATAACAATCAATGATCCATAGTAATAAATCCTTGAAACTACCTTACCTACTATTTGTTATCATCTCATTAATATCAAACTTGTCATGTCTTCAGTGACCTTCAAGTGTAGCATTTCCTACGTCTGACCTTTTCTCTCAAACTATTACTCACAGTGTAATAAATAATGTACACTCTCAAATGTAATCATAAACAGACCAAAAGATAGCTTAAATGTAATTGTAATATTCACAAATACATTTAAAGGCTAAACCAATCAATACAATTGTTGAGAATATAAAAATATTAAAATGAAAATGAAATACAG